TGCAAAGATTGTATTCATTGAGTCAAAGACAGCCTTGCAGCCGAAACATGCATGTAGCAAGCTTCAGCAGTCGGACCTTCCATGCCACTTCTGGTAAAATAGTGCAGTGATTCTATAACAGGAGCTCAGCTCACAGCTCAGATTGTAATAAGTAAAAACTATCTTTGTTGAAGTCTGCTGTGCTCGTGAAAAGTTCAAAGACAGACCTGAAAATGAGCATTATCCAATACATACCAAAATGTCTTATGTTAACTTTTCCAGAACAAGACTGTCCATCTTCAAAGCACAATGATACCCTCACTACAAATGTACCTGACCCATTTGAAATACAGAAACCCTCAAACAAACATTTACATGATACAGTTCCGTCGGTAGACTCAAAATGTAAGCGCTAAAGAAATATTTTCTAAGACAAAATAATATACAAAAACATTCAGAATAATTTATTTACAAACTTCCTGCAGACAAAATGGTTACCCATATTTACAGCTTCTCAAAACATGGGCTGCTGCTTGAAAAATGTCAGCAGCTTCAATATGTCTACATATATGCATGGAACAACATTACCAAAGGGAGCTGTGGTTGTAGATGCATGATTCTTTTCTGCTGGTGATTATCTTGTTGAATATTGAGCTTGGCATTGTATGCTCCTTGTGTTAAGATTAGGCAGGCTCACGAGGACGAGTAGCCCAAAGCGAGCTCAAAGCTCGAAGGCGTTGGAAGTACTCCCCCAAGGCAAGAAGGCCGCGAGCTGCCTGGCGGATTGTTAGGATGCATGACATCTGCTGTAAGGTCCCCCGCCGAAGATTATCAGCCTGTTTGGGTAAAAAGATCATTTAGTCAGAAAACATGTCATTGAAATGTTAAGAAAACTAACACAGAACTAACATTACAAGGAAAATTACGTAAAGTTAACACCAAATACTACAAAAACAAAAATATCACAATGATTCACGTAAGATGAAAATCTCAGTCAACAGCATTCGGATGTAATGAAATGCACCCCAAAACTTTTTGTTCACCCCTTAACATAGAACTCATTATGTGATTACTTTCTGCCTTGTACTGGTGGAAGCTGTACATTACCAAATAGCTGAGTAGTTCTAACCCTATTTTGTCATTAAGTTAATATCACAAATTCACCATGTCAGTGAAATTTCCAACAAAACTGTTCCTCTATCTTTAGTTAATCCCTTCATAAAAATACAAGTCAGTCTGTACTATCTTACCTACCAAATAATTCGAAAGATTCATTTTTTCAGCTTCTATCGAGACATGAGAGACGTAAGAGATTAATAAGGGTTCCTTTTGACATTGGTGTTCTTTCTAGTCGAATTTGATGTGAAAAACTTGCCTTATTTTTTTTTTTTTTAAAACTCAGATTTTGTTAAAAATAAACAACACCAAGATGGGCATAAATGTTTTCATTCACCAACAAAGTTATATCCCACTCATTCCATTTGTAATATGAAATCTAAATGGCTTCACTTTTGATAAAGCCGAAAATAATTCATGGCACCTACATGTACAAATTATAGCCTATAGAAAGCACCAACATTTCCAACATTTTCAACATTTAAACAGACGGTTTTGCAAGATTAGATATAAAACACACTTGAGTCGAAGTTTGGAACAAAAACATCCAACTGGTCTATGGATACATGCAGTACATTACCTGTTGCACAAAGCTCACGAGCTCTTCCAATTTCTGCATGGCATTAGCCATCTGTGGCACATAACTACCTTCACCCAGTTGACCAGCTGCCACAGTGTCAGCCAGAGTGAGCTGGAGTTTATCCATACCTTGCGAAAGAGCATCTTCTGCTTGTTGACATGATTGCCTAAGATTGTAAACATCCAAAACTTGTTGGTCTGTCAAGGGGTCAAGGTGAGGCTGAAGAACCTGTAATCAACACAAATATAAGAACTAGCTTTACCCGACACTCACTTATGGAACTTATTGCTGAAAGAATATGCCAAATGAAGTCGTTTAAAGTATAATAGTGTTCCACTAAATGCATCAGTTTGTAAAGATATCAGAACCATAATGGATGATCTGCCTCCAACTTTCCACATTCTCAACGAGAAAAAGGAAAAAAAAATAAAATGGTTGGCCCGAAATGGAAACTATCCAGTTGTCATAACTTATTGGCATTCTATAAGAGAATCCATAAAAGCAAACCCTGAAGATTAATCACATCAGCTGAGAATCATACACTAGAACAATAAATCTTGCCAAAATATTATAAGATTTATTTCGTGTGTATGTACTATTACACTCAATAGTGCGAAACTTTTTTCATACAAGTATCAAAAAATGCTGCACTACTGGTACAGTCAACACTCTTCATTCAAAATTCATCAAAAATATTAGATTAAAATGAACCAATTCTCATTCCCCTTCATCCTATAATTGGTGATTCGGTTTTAAAGAATAACTCTAATATCCTACAAGTTCTTCTACTGCAACGCGCAAGTCTCGGGAACAAAAAATGCATTATCTTCAATTAATGACTTCTAACACACCATACATTACCTTAAGAATCTCTGAAGGGCGAAACCCTCCAATCCATGAGAAAAACCGTTCAGCTGATGTTTTCCACATCCCAGACATCACATAGAATACGTCAGCTTTTGCGGCAGTTAATTTCATGCTGAAAAGTTCAAAATAGTGACTCATGCCACTATCCACAAGGAATCGAAGCTCTATATCACTTATATGAGCATGCAAAGCAGTTCTCAGTTCATTAATTTGCCTATTTTGTTCTTCCACCCAATGTCCATACTCCATCTCAAATGTTGTTACACCTGCATAACTTGGAGTTTCAAATTTTATATTACAAGGACATGAAAAAAAAAAGTCATGATACAATACAATCATGTACTAGAGGAAACATACGCATAAAGATATATAAAGAAGCATCCAAACATTAGAGATTATGATGTTTTGAAAGACGCCCTGGTAAACCTTCTAGAGAGCTTTGTTTTTACAGGAAGCATGAATGTGTCCCTGTATATACATACAAACACCTTTTGGATAGAGTAAGAGTCTGGACTTCCCTTCAGGCTTCAGGTTGTCTCGAGTTTCGGAAATTATCACTTTCTATTATTCTTGTAGATTGAGCGTGGAGTTAAATAGTTTCCATCACCATTTTTTGTATTATTGAGGGCTGGCTCATAGGGAATTATATGCCTTCTTTGTTGTATGTGGTGGACACGTCCACAATTTTCTATTATTAACAATGCATAGACTTTATAGCCTTTTGCACAGACACTTGATGTTGAAGAATGGAGCACTTATCCATTCTCATCATCACAATACCAATAAAAACTCATAACCAGAAGGGATGAAAAGGAAAAGGAAAATTCCAACAAGATGTAGCATTTTATTGCATAGAATCAATAAATTGCTTAAACTGCTGACCACTCCAAGTTTCATATGCAACCCTATAATACATATCAACATTCTAGATTGACAAAATAAAATCGAAGATATGGCAGAAGCACACTAACAAACAAACCTGAGTTTATAGTGCCCGAGAATCCTAGAGGACTAGCATCCAGTCCATTGCCAATATAAATACCCTGCTATAATTTACAAGAAGAGAAGTTATAATTTTTTTCTTTTCTATTGAATTTAGTAATAAATTGTAGAAAAGCTAATCTTCTCCTTACCTGTTGTCTTGCTCGGTCAAGCTCTTGCTCTAATTGAATAAGCTTCAAACGACTTGTTTCTAACTGCTGAACATAGGCCTGTATAGGAAAAGTCATCATATTAGTCCATATACATCACTAGTTGCATATATGATATATTTTCAAATGCATATCACTTCCTACCTTCTTTCGCATCCGGCTTTTACGAGCAGCCTCCCGATTTTGTGCAAGACGTCTTTGCACCTAAATAGTTTAACACATAACCAAAGTATAAGATGCTGGTTTGAAAGTTCGCACCATTGAACTCCTAAAATGAATTACTACAAAATGCATCTGGAAGAATACAGTAAATCTTTAGCTCACAAACATAAATTTCTGTCATAAATTGCTAAGTGAACATGACCAATCCCCAGTTATTTAAATCCACTCCAAAAGTAACCATATGATTCACAAATAATATTTTGAATCTAATGAGAGCCATAAAGTAGGCATGCAAGCAGTAACTAACCTCTACTTTTTTCGTTTTAATCCATACCTTAAAACCAAGCCTTGGACTTGAGGTTTGTACGGAATATTCTATCTAGTTTATACAATTTAAAAGGTGGCCAAACCAAAATCAACTTAAATTAGACAAGAAGCTAAGGTCTAGCACCCAAATCCCAAGGAAAAATAAATTATAGAAAAGTTTACAGTAGTAAACAATTTCTTCAAAAAGAGAAAAGTCCACAACATTTACCCATTTGAACTCCATAGACTTGTTTTCCTGATTTAACCTTACATATCAATGAACGTTACAATCTCAACTAGTATTTCACAAATCTCAATCTCCATTCATGACTAATGTCTGAAATCATTGAACTATACTTCTTTACTACAGAGATCCCTGAATCTGTTATTATTACTCCTTTACTACACCCAATAAGAAAACGACATACTGTGACAAAGTATATCAAGTGGACATATTTGGAAATGAATATCTATGTGTTGTATACAATATTCATCAGCCACTTGTAAGAAGCAATTTCACAGTTGATCAGAATACTAGGTTATTAGTGTTAGAAAGTCAGAAGCGATAGTGCCAGTGTGGTGAAATTTCAATTTTTCAACCAAGGTTTGTATGTCAGTACGGTTAGCCTTATGTTTTGCTAAAGAAAGAAAGAGATCACCCAGCGAGTGATGCAGAAGCTCAATATCTCTCACCTTGTCTGTAGGTTTAGTTGCTTCTTGGTCATACTTGCTAGAAGGTCCCAGGATTCCATGAGAAGCATCCTCTGACTAGATAAATTTAAATGATAACACAATGCACAGAAAATAGATTAATGTCACTCCAAGAAACAAGAACCAAAACAATTAATATCAAATACTCACCTGATTATCTAGTTTGGTGTCTGCATCAACTATCATGGATGCTGAGGCATTAAAATTACCATTACTCTTAAAGCTTTCCTCCCACATGCTAATCTGGTGGATAGGCTCATAGGCCCCCATCCTTCTTGAGGTGACAAACTGGGTGGATGGAGAATTCATGTTTCTTCAACTGACAATGGAAGGAATCCAATGAATTTTTGACATAAAAGCATGTGATGTAGAACCTAGAAGAATTTCCAGAGAGAGAAGTAGGATAACCATATTTCTGTAATCTCAATCAATATGTGAAAACTGAAATCCAAAACAAAAGGCCTACTTATATATGCAGTCCAATTAAACTAATAAAATACTGCAATTACGAAAAACAAAATTGTAAAATTTATATAAAACCAGCCTCAATTCCGTCCTTGCACCAACAGTAGAAACATTTGAAATCTCCTTGTTATGATCCCAATTAGAGTATGACTCGCAGTTGGGGTAAAAAGGCCAATATTTGAACAAAATTCATATCAACTAGTGCAATGTTAATATAGTAGCAACATGAGATAGGAAGGGAAGTGAAAACCAAGGGATGAGGAGTGTAATGATTATTTTTATATATAAGAAAATAGGAAATAAAATATTATTGAAGAGGAGAATGAAAAGGTAAAAACAGTAGACAAGATGTCCACTGGAGCAAAAATCTAGAGTGCTCTAAAACAGCACCAACAAGCTAAAATACAAAAGAACACCAGCAAAAGCAATACGATACTAAAATACAGCTGCATTCCAATTTGATAAAAACTGCAGAGAGAGAACTCCTAAACTCTGAAGAAATCGAAGCCCAACAACTATCTCATACCCTCATTAACACCAGTCCAATCAAAAGTTATGAACCTAGATGCACATCAACACAGAGAATAGAAATAAAAGAGATGGAAGGACACATTTTCAGACACAATACTGAATGAACTGAGCACGTTCTTGGTTTTCTGAAGTTCCAATTTTTCAGACAAGAAGACTCTAAGTTCCATCATAGCATAACTTGAATGTCCAGATAAGCAATCGGGTACAATTTCAGTGGTGTCCTGTAAAAGCTAGCACCAAGCCCACAACTTTTGAAGTTACCAAAGTACATACTGATCACAGAAAAGTAGCACCTTTCATTTTGTACACAGCTACAACAAAAAGATGAAGAAAACACAGAAGTTGGGGGGGAATTTATGAAATGATCGGTGCCTTTCACCTTGTCATGCTGAATTTCTCATAAAGGAAAAAAAAGTAACTACAAGCCAAGTTTAGAACTTTGCAGGGTTCCAAAAAGCCTAACCACCAAAGACTCTCAGTTCCTTTAATCAATAAAAGTTTGACATGGATTTTGTACTTGTTGCTTATCAACTATACAGTAAAAGTTTTTAGTACAAGATACTCAGCTCCTCTTATCAGCCACATAATTATAAATGAAAACTGAGAACTAACAAATAAGTGTAAAGGGAAGTTGCTCAAGTTTCAAATTTCACATCCATTTCTTACTTTCTTCATCAAACACATGAGAGCCCAAAACAGTATTGACAATCAATCATAACAATAACAGAGCAAAACTATGTAACAGAGGACTGAGATAGAAAAACTTCAACTTTCTTAAGCCAAGCTGCAGCATCTTTGTATCAAACTAAAAACTGAAACAAAGCAAAAAAACCCAAAACTCAGACTTCCCTTTTCTTTCTTCTGCTTTCTTTTCTCGGAAACCAAACATGCCCCAAATGGAATTTGAAAGCAAAAAAAGAGAGCAAAAACAGAAAGTGAACCTTTGAAAGGCCCGTCTGAGGAAGTCAAGTTTACTTTTCCCGCTCTAAATTGAAGCAGACCAAGCAAGGAGACCAAGCCTTCTGCAGAGTAGCAATGGAAACCCTAGCTCTCACTGCAAGTCTCATCATCTCGCAGAAGAATCGAGTGAGAGAACACGACAGCTTAATAGACTACTTTCAAACTTCCTAATCTCCTATTCTAATCTTTCATTAAGATATTAATAAATTCCCAATTACAATTATTGACCATTTTCCTCTCCCTTTTTTTTAATCCATTAATTTCTAATTTTATACAAATTTTGTTATACAAAATAAAATTTGTAGTTTTCTGAGTGTGAGAGAGAGAGAGAGAGAGTCAAAGACTACAGAAAAGATGAAAGAGGGCGTCGTAATCCTCATCCTCCTCCCACTACAATATCCCACCCACTGCTAATGTGCGCACCAGGTGGATCGCTCTGCGACGCTTTCCTTAACCTGCGCACTCCCCGCGAGTGATTCGCTGACGTCATATTCCGGCATGTTACCTCGCCGGGTGTTTGGGATTCGCAGGAGATATGAGCGAGGGCTTGCGTTCCGGTTGGGGTTTGGTGCGAACGCGCGAGTTGAGCGCGTGGAGAGGTACGGGGGTCAAGTGGGAGTTGATAATTTCGCGGGAATGGAGTGACAGTTTATTGGTGTGGGGTCGGCTGAACGCGCGAGTTGAGCGCGTGGAGAGGTACGGGGGTCAAGTGGGAGTTGATAATTTCGCGGGAATGTAGTGACAGTTTATTGGTGTGGGGTCGGCTTTGCGTGGTTTTGTCTAATTCTCTAATTTGTCTAACTTATTTTTAATTTTAATTTTAATATTTTTAACTTTTGGGTTTTGACTTTTTTGAGTTTTGAACTTTTTGAGAGTGGGAACAGTAACGGCTACATGAACGTGATGATTCGCTGTCTGAATTTTGACTACTTCAAATTTGAGGCCATGCATATTTTGATATTTGATATTGCACACAAAAAGGGATTATCCTAGATTCTACGAGGAAAATACTTGCCTCATTTTCTTAGAAGTAAAAACTTCCAATTTTCTATTATTTTAAATTTTAAATTAATTACTTTTGCATATATATATAAGAAGTGTCTTTCTACAATACTTAAAATCATCAAAGAAAATATATTGTCCTATAAGGAAAAAGGTCTTATCATTGCCATAGTTCATACTGCTATTCTACAATACTTCAAATCATCGAAGAAAATATATTATCCTGTAAGGAAAAAAGGTCTTATCATGCCATAGTTTCATACTACCATTCTACAATACTTCAAATCATCGTTTCATACTACCATTCTACAATACTTCTAATCATCGAAGAAAATATATTAGCCTATAAGGAAAAAAGGTCTTATCATAGCCATAGTTTAATACTGCCATTCTACAATACTTCAAATCATCGGAGAAAATATATTATCATATAAGGAAAAAAGGTGTTATCATTGCCATAGTTTCATACTGCCATTCTACAATACTTCAAATCATCGGAGAAAATATATTATCCTATAAGAAAAAAAGGTCTTATCATGCTATAGTTTCATACTGCCACTCGATACTAGTAGTGGAGTGGAAGATAGAAACAATAATAGCATGAAGAAGGGAGAGGAGTCAAAAATGTCAATGACTATGGAGTATGTGAATAGTATGGAATCAAAAGAATATAATAATAATATTTCTACCTCGATTTGGTGGAGTCAAATAGAGGAGTCAAGCAAGGAGATTGTATTTCAAGTGCTTAAGAGTAGTTATACCTGCACCCGAGGTTGTGTTCGAATCCCCCTCTCCTAATATCACTTGTATTAATAAAAAAAAAATGGAGGAGCCAAAAATTAAGTATATTGCCTATTTTCTCCACCACATTGGTGTTGGGCTCTTTCACCTATGGAGTTAAACATGACATTTAACTTTATTTTTCTCTATGTTTCTGCGTCGGATCTCCACTACATCCTTTTTGCGATTTCTTTATATTTGGAATAAGTCACATAGACTCTTTGGGCTATGTGTGTAGTTTTCACCTCTCATTTTGTGAGAGTTTCACATCTCCTTTGTGAGAGTTTTTCATCTCTCATTTGTGAGAGTTTTATTTGTATTCAAGGACAAACCCATGAATTTTGTCAGGGGTAGGCTAATAATAACATTTAAAATATTTAGAAACCAGAAAATAACAAATAATAATAATTAAAAAAAATCCCCTTTCTTTCAAATAATCTAAAACAAACCCTTTCTTTCAAATAGCATAGGGAAAAAATCCCCAAAATTTAACAACCAAATCCTAAATCTTAAAAACCCAACAATAACAGTTAAAATTTTAAAAAAAACCACAAAATTTAACAACAATAACCTAAATTTTATCATTGTGAGAAGGATTTCTTCACTCTACATTCGATTCTGAGAGAGAGAGAGAGAGAGAGAGAGAGAGAGAGAGAGAGAGAGAGAGA